CATTATGGACTCCTCATCCATGTTGGGCGTGGCCTTCTCGTCGGCGCGGCCTTCTCGTGAGTGTGTGTGTCGATGTGTTCGTGTGTTCTTGTGGAGGGTGTTTGTGTGCGTTGGCGGCGAATGTGCCGAAAACGCGGCGCTACTTGCCTTTTCCGCCGCCCAAACATTTTCGCGACCTGCCCCATTTCGAAATGTTTGTCAAACATTTTGTCAACCGAGCGACTTTTGCCCCGTTTCAAAATCTTTGAGAATATTTCGCCGAAGATTTTCTCCCATAAAAAGTGAAACAAAATCTTTATCCGCAAATGTTTGAAAATTTTGACATTTTTCAAAGATTTGGTGACCATAAACATGGGCCTAAACGGCTTTTTTTTTGCAAAACAACAAAACAAAAAGCGTACCCCTAACGGGACACACTTTTCACAAAAAAAAAAACTATTATTCAAATATTGCGTTCCTGGAAGTTTCTGCGTGATCAAGACCACAAATATTTCACTCGCATCTTCGCAAGCTGTTTTCGAATTCAAATTTTGATCTCATCTCGAACTTCCTGGCAACTTCGAAGTTGAAATCCCAACACCAGTCCGCAAACACCCTATTTTGTTTTCTTGTTCCGGTGGTTTGTACCCTATTATTCTTGTTTTATTGTTTCCCGCGGTTTGTACCCTATTTTTGTTTTGTTTCCCCGCGGCGTCTTATGTGCCGGGTGTTGAGACCACGGGCTCCCCATTTTTTGTGGACTATACAATGTAGAGCAAATGTGAGAAACAACAACAACAACAACAACAACAACAACAACACGTCATCTCGGAGAATAGCTAATTCCGCCGCATCTTAACGCCAACACAGCATACAACGGGGACAAGGTCCAAACTGCCCCTGAAACGAGCCTACTTCGTACCTACAGCAGTACGCCGTGTGGCCGTGTGTCGGCATGTGTACACCTGCTCCTGTGTAGACAGCTCTGCATATAACCTAGACTACATAATATGCACCGTTGTTGTGAGAGGTGAGCAGCAAAGGCAGAAGAAGTACGTATGTAGACTAACAAACACGCCTCAATACTTATAGATCTAGCCTAGTCTACTTGGTTTTCTTTTGGTACAGTAGGGTTCTCAGGTTAGCTGTACCACAGACAGGTGCCGACCCCCTGCCAAGGGAGCAAATTCGAGAGGGAAACCCTGCAGCATGTCCGAAGGCGGACGTCACGTCGAAGCAGCCTGTCCCACAACCAACAGGCTTGGACGCATCGTTTTGTGGATGACTATGCATATAATAACAATTTCTTCCCGCAGATATCTGCTGACGACGTGTTGCATACTGACTGTATGTAGTTGCTGTAGCCCCACCTTCTACAAGTCTGCAACCTCGCGTCTCCCGACTCTCTCTCGTGTTCTCCACCTCGCCCGCCGCGCTCTCTTTCTCTTGGCGCTCCACGCAGAACAAATAATGCACCATCGCCAAACTCACAACTCACAACTGCTTACATAGTGAAGGCGACATACAGTCGTGGGCCCGGTTTGGCGGCTCCCTGTTTAGCGGGATGCCCTGAATAATAGCGATTAACAGCATATTGGTGAAATTGAGAGCGAAGCATCTGATTGAGAGCGAGATTGCGCGATGCGCTGCAGCTAGACTACTGCTGAGAGGTGCAGCTTGCTGTGTAGCTTGAATTGAAGGGCCAGCCCGTAGCTACAAGCAGATACCATTGTCATCCTGTGGGAGTCTCTCGATGTGGAGTTACAGCGGCGAGCAGAAGCTACAGCAGAGCCCACCGCCCGAGGCCAAACCGCCCTGCAACAGTTTGAGGCAGGAATAGCCAATCTGGGGAAATCTAGCAGCATCCGATGACGATGACACGCATATCCTCGTGACGCTGCTGATGAGACCTTCAATTTGCGCCGCTTCTTGGAAGAGCCCGCCCCCTACTTCTCAAGAAATGGCAGGACGCGTCTGGACCCGAATTTAGTTTTTGGGCTCTCGCTCTCAATTTCATGCTTCGCTCTCAATTTCACCAATATGTTGTTGATTATGAATCTCGTGACACGGCTGCCCCCCGGGTTAACCGCTAAATAAACCGGTCGTGCCCTCAATAGCGGTTATTGGAAATGATTTCAGGCACCAATAGCGATTATCGGTTCATTTTTTGCCGAGACCTATGTCAGGAAAATCGTGCGTCGAGACCACCAGTAGTCGGACACGGTTTGACCTTTCAATACGAATGCAGCAACTAGTCTGCGTAGCAGTAGAAAAGAATCCATCTCTCCGTGGCATGTATTCTCTTGTTCTAGAAATATTCCGGAAGCATCCTAGATCAAGGTTGACCAGNCATGCACTCTCAACGCACGAAGCACGTGACCCTGAGGTACTTTTTCATCGAGGGGTGGTGTCAGGAAAATCGTGCGTCGAGACCACCAGTAGTCGAACACGGTTTGACCTTTCAATACGATTGCAGCAACTAGTCTGCGTAGCAGTAGAAAAGAATCCATCTCTCCGTGGCATGTATTCTCTTGTTCTAGAAATATTCCGGAAGCATCCTAGATCAAGGTTGACCAGGACATCTATGTAGAACGTGTGTAGCTTCTGGAAGCCTTCTGGAAACTTCTGGTTCCTCCTGTAGCCTCTGGAAGCCTTTCTGAAAACTTCTAGTTCCTTCTGTAAGCTTCTGGAAGCGTTTTAGATCTAGGTTGCAGTTGATACTCTTCTAGAACGTAGGAGGGCTTCCAGAAATTATTCTGGAAGCATTCTGGATCTTTCGTGTGATTGGCTTATTTGTCCGGTATTCGNACAGAGTGTGAACCTCTGAGGTAGGCTTCACAGCCTCCTGGCATCTGCAGCATCGTGCTGCTGCCAGAGCATCGCGAAATATCTCTGACAACCTACATGGTGCGCTCTCCGCTTGCACATACTCACAACACAGCGACATTGGTCAGTCTGTTAGCTGGTCGATGCTCACAACAAAAAAGAAAAAAGACACAGCGAGACACACTCACACCAAACGACGCAGGGCTCGAGAAGGATCGCCGAAAAATAGCTGTAAAAACGACGATGAGAGTGATGGTGGTGAAAGCAAAAGGAGAATGGTGGTGGAAGCACTCCAAAACGAACTCGAGTGCAAGCAGTTTTCCTTTGCTGCCACCGCTTCTGTCCGTAATCCGGACAAAAGCTTTTGCCTGCCCCATGCCGACCCCTCACGGGGTCCCAGGTAATGACATAGTCTATAGAAGTGTTATGTGTTTTCAACCGTACTGAGACTGAAGACGTCTGTTCATTGGTCAACCGGTTAGCTGTTTGCGGCCTACGCCACTTATTTATCGGGTGAGACTGTTTTGGTGATGTATTAACTTCACGAGAGGTAGACGACCGTCTTTCACACGGACGAAAGAGGGAGTGCTCAAAGAGCGGCTACCACAGCAAGGAGGGGCCCGTGAATCATCGCGGTGCCCCCCACCAAACGGCAATCTTACCAGTCTGCGTGACACCATATCATACAGCACATGTATCCAACACCAATGTTCGCAGACCCACGAACACCCTCCCTGGTTCTTCACGCAAGTGACTAACCATCAATGGGGCAAGAACGCCCTTGGATACATCAAAAAATACAAACATGGTAATACATGGAGGGGAAACCCGGCGTCCGGCAAAACCCCTCGAAAAAAAACTAACACCACAAAAACCGTTGCTATCACAGCGGATCACAACGGCCGCACTTATTAGGAAGGCCAAGGCGAAGACAAGAACGCGAGGAACTAAATTCCCCCGGACGATGGTCTCCCAACGCCCCCTACTCCTGCCATTGGTACTCAGACCGCAACAACAGTTATTCGCCTTTCGCCGCATGGAAAACATGACCTCTCCCAAGTGCTAGCAACTGCTACAAGTACTCCGGCAAATTCATCAACTTGCGCTGGTGGTACTGCAGACTAGCCCTGCGAAGGGCCTTGGTCAGGAGGTCCGCGTGTTGTTCCGTTGTCGGAACGAACTTGACCGAAATATCCCCCGACCAAAACAATCCGCGTATGAAATGAAATATCACGTCGATGTGTTTCGTGCGACCTGAGCCGAGGGGGTTCTGCACCAATGCTATTCCCCCCTGGTTGTCCCCAAGGACCTGGATGCTGCTACCACTGGTCTCTGGGGCAACAAACGAAAGCACAGCATGCACAAACAACGCCTCCTTGACGCCCTCCCCGGCAGCAATGTACTCGGCTTCCGTCGAAGACAGAGACACGATGCTCTGTGTCTTGCTGCCGTGGCTGACTACGGTACCTCCAACCGTCGTCGCCAACCCTGACACCGAACGCTTATCCTCCGTGTCGGCGTAGCTAGCGTCTACGTACACGGCCAGCCCTAACCCCGATCCCCGTTGGTAGGTAATGCCGAGGTCCCTCGTCCCTTTCAAGTAGCCAAGGATCTTCTGGATGGCATCCCAGTGCCCCTTCGCCGGGGCGTGGGCGTGGCGCGATACCGCGCGCACGGCAAACGAGACGTCTGGACGCGAGAACGTTGACACCCACATCATGCTGCCGATGGCCTCCCTCACCGGCCACTCCCCTCCCTTCTCATCATCTCGCTTCGGTCCCGTGGGGGATTCACTTAACTCGTGGGACGCCAGAGCCGTCTCGAAGGCGTCTGGCGAGTTGAGCATGAGGTCCACCGTACCCAGCAGGAAATCCTCCGCCTCTTGGCGCGCAGCGTGGGCCTCCTCCGCGCGCTCGAGCAGCAACTCTCGCACCGCCCTTGCCTCTAGCCCTTCCGCCACGTGAGTTACCGCCGAGAGCATCCAGCTTGTGAACTCCTCCGTGCTCCTGACGGGCAGGCTCGCCGCCGAGGCGAGCAGGGCTTCGGCACTTGTCGGCGACGGGGGCGACTCGTACCTTGAATTTCGGCGAGGGTTCTCCCTGGTGCGGCGGCTAGTGAGTTCCGCCGGCTTGTCGAAGCGGGCGAGCCGCAGGGGCTCTGGCCCACGGAGCGCCGGGAGATCCGTCTCGCTGTCGCTGTAGCTGCCGCTGTCGCTGCCGCTGCCGCCGCTACCACGGCTGCTGCTGCGGCGGTCGTCCTCGCCGCCGCCCACATCGGCCATGCCGGCCAACGTGGTAGATGGGGCGATGCTCTCGTCCTCCGTGCTCGAGGGGGCGCCATCGCCAGCGTCGCCCGCGCCCGACTCCTGGGGCGCGGCCAGGGGCGCCGCTGGCGCTACGCGCGCGGGCGGCCCCGCGAGCCCCGGGGCTGCCGTCGTGCCAAGGCTAAAACCTGGTCCTCCATCCACACGTTCTCCCTCCGCCCTCCCTCCACCTTGGCTCGACGCGCCCTCCCCAACCTCGTCCTCCCCAGTTGCGAATTTCTCTTCCTCCTCTGCGATGGGAGGCAGCGACTGGGGCAGGGCGGTGGGGGCAGCGGGTACGGATTGCCAGGTGAAGTTGCGAGTTGTGATCGCTTGGCGTTTTCCGTTCACGATGCGCACGCAATCACGGTTGGTGTTGATTCCCGGGCCGAGGTAAAAACACTTTTGGGCTTTTGGCTCGGACTTGTGTGTGCGCTTGACCTTGTATACGGCAGGTTTGAGGAACGGGTACGTCACCCCCGGCGGGGGAGGGTGCTCATGACACATCTCGAACAGCGATTTCTTCGAACGGCGATTTCTTCTCTGGGTTGGATGTGTGTGGTGGAGGTGCAGTTCAGGGCGTTGCATGCCCAAGGTATGGCCTCAGCCCAAAGGCAGGGTAGTTCGGTGCTCCGGGGTAAAGAATTGGCCTTTGCATACGGGCGGCTAGTGCTGCATCCTTGATCAGACCCAGTGCTCTCTCAGCTACATCGCTCTATTCTGGGCTGTGTGCGGGGGTGAACTCCTGTTTGATGCAGTACTTCCGGCACACCCTGCCGAACTCTCCCTCAAAACACTCTCCTCCGTTGTCAGATCTCACGACCATGACATCGGACGGGGCACCGCCCGTTCATGTAGGAACAGCAGGCTCGACTAATGGGGGGGAGTCTTGTCTGACACCGCTTGGTGCTCATGGTCAACGGACAATAGCTACGGTGTAAATCCAACGTTTGTAAAATTTCAAGTACTGTAAAGCTTTTTATGTTCGTTTGTCAATTTTTTAGATGGATGTTTCGAACGCGTTGAGAAATAGAGCTGGTGTGTGTAACAGATGGAAGAAACCATTACGATTTTTTTAGCGATGATTTTTTTGTATTCGACGATGAACAGATGCTGGACCTGAGTCTTGCCAGTCGTGAGCGAGGGTGCTGACGTTTGAAAATTACTGCGGTATCACCCAACAAATGTTTTCACAATGATCGATGGGAGGGGGCGATCCACAATGAACGCTAAACTTGCCGTGTTGTCAAACGAGCGCAAAGCCTGTGGTTCGTGGCGTGTGTTTCGTGTTTGCGTTCTTGTAGCTATTGCGTGACTCCAAGTTTTGGTGAAGACATGTTGGCTGTATTGGAAGATTCCCTCATGTTTGACGTGTACAACAGTGTCCCGTGGACTTTTTGAAGTGGTTCCTGAGGGATTTCATTCGGAGACCATCAGGTAGATCGTGCTGTGCTGTGTGCTGCGTGTTTTTTTTTATTTGCATATCATCCACTGCGCTAGCCGGCTGACCATTGCAAAGAACGCCAGCCAGGCCGTATACGTTTAGACTACAGTGGAACCGATTGTCCCGCAGATTTCAGTTGACCGGCCATAACTTCATCAATAATGATTTTTATTTTTGTTTTGTTTTTAGTATTGATCTCCATCGCAAATGCCACAAGAGTTGCTCAGGGACCAAATCGATTTGAGACGTTCCTGAGAATTCGTGGTTTTCGTATAGGTTTTTCCAGGCGTTATCGGGAGGGAGGGGATGAAACGTTTCGTCCAATATCTCGATAACCACTCACTATCGTAATCATGCCGGGTTTTTTTTGTTTCTCGGTTGATATCGGCGGGGTTTGAACAGGCGAACGCGATGGCGCCCTCAAAAAAATAAAAAACACTCTTAACAAGTCGATATACGCATTTGAAGGGGGGCACAAGAGATTGTACCCCCCTTTTCTGGTCACAAAACTTATCGTTTAACGCTTGATATTTCGTTGTTTTCGCTTCATCGTTGGGAAAACCCTGTTGGGAAAACCCTGCGTTTACACTCGACGACACTCCCTCGCACTACTTTTTACATTTGCCAAAAACTAGTCTTCTACATACAGTACAGCACGCCCAATACTACCGATCTTATCGACCGGGAGGGAAACGCAGCCGGTTCGAAAAAAAACACGGACGTCCGACAACAACGTAGAACCACGCCTAGTCAGAGCTTCCCTGATGGCCGCATGGGCCTCAGGGCGAAGCATGGAGGTCATGGGCGTGCAGTGCGTGCACCGCTAGCTTGTTTTGTTTCCAGCCGTTGGGGCTGATGTGGGCAATTTTTTTTTAAATCTTGTTTCTGATTTTTTGCGGCATGTTGTCAAAAAGGTACGGAAATGGAACCAACGCCATAAAATAGAGACGTCAATTATCTGCAACTTTTTTCGGTGGGTTCGCCGTAGTTGTCGAGATATGGAGGATTCAGTGGAGTAAAGTACCTTCGCTGGCGATGGTAATAGGTCCATAACTCTTGATCCAGAGCGAACCCACCGCCCTTGAACGGCTTATTATTCGAAAGCTACTGGCGAGAGCTTTCCAACGCACATTTGTTTGTCACCAATTCTTTTTTTTTCCGCCGCCCCAAAAATGTGGGACAATCGGTTCCACTGCTGCTGTATGTGTGTATGGTCCGTTCGGGCAAATATTCACAATCAATCTTGTTTTTCGCGATATCTTTCGAAAAAAAACGATTTGGAAAGTGAAACAACTTGAGGCGTGACCGCGGCGTCGAGCTTCGTCGATATCCGATGAGTTTTTGGTGATTGGGTGAAATGCGACATTTTTGACCAAAATGAACCACGGA